GATTACATGAAGCAGGAGTCAAGGAAGGCAATCGAACAATCAACCTGTTGTTTACTTGTTCAAAGCTGCACTAGTGTTGACAGCTTGTGCGACAGAAAAGCTTAATTAAAGAAACAAAAACAAGGATGAGTCAAAAATATTCGAATATATAATGATATCAAAGTTGCTTACCGGCGTAAATCGGCTTCCTTAACTTGTACATGGCCGTAAACAGAGCGACGTTGGTTGGCAGGAGCCTCGGCTCGTTGGATAAAGCTAGTACGGTTGCTGTAGTAAGAGCCAGTTCGTGCTGGTGGGCCTGATGGGATAGGTGCCACTTTCTTGTTCTTCTCCTGACCAGCTCTGCGTTTCTTGATCAAAGCTCGAGTAGCAAATTTGATGAGATCTTTAGAGGTAAATTGAGTAAGTATGCAGTCTGTGAGGTTGGTTCGAAAGATAGCTTCGACTTACCCATAGGAAGGAACCAGATCAAGTTCCATACCCAACATACTCCTACCCAAGCAAGTGGAATACCTTGAACGCTTGAGAACTCGAGATCACCGAAGCATGCCAATAGAGAGGCAACGGTTTGTGCAATGACAAATGCACCCATGAGTGCAAATGATGGTCGCTCCATGAAGAACCAGCCGTGAGATCGAGTGATGAAGATGAGAGCTTGTGAGATGATGGCCACTTGTAAGTAGATCACCATGTGTAATTCTGACATATTTTTCAAATCGGATCAGTAGATGTTGAAATTGAACCTTTTGGAAGTATTGTCACTCACGAGGGTCGTTAGCGTCTTTCAGAGCAATGATTCCAAAGGTGTCTTCAAAGAATGTAGTGTTGACTATAGCGACGTAGAAGAGGACGGTCGATAATGCAAGATGGAGACCGTAGGCAACAGCATATGTGAAAATCTCGGTAAGGTCCCAATGATCAGGTTCGTTGCTTGGTAAGACTCGATCCAATGAAATGGTCATGACGGTTCCATCGTTCAAGATAGCGATGACCAAGACCATGAAAGGTGGGAAATCGAATTGGAAAGCAAATGCCTGCGAGAAGTTTTATTAGCTGTGTCATCGATAGAACAGGCAAGTCGAGCACATACCATGATGGTGAATCCAACAACAATACGAATAGTGACTGCACAAGCGTAGATTGAGTAGTTTCTCATTCTCTGGAAAACAATACGTGATTGACGGATGGCGTGGATAATGGTTGAAAGACCGGGTTCGACGAGGACGATATCACCAGCTCCCCTAGCAGCATCAGTTGCACCTTCGACTGCAATTCCGACATTGGCACGTGCGAGCTGTTGTGAAAGTAATGGAAGTCAATTAGATGATCCTGACCAATAAAACAGAGAGTGGGTTGGGTAGCTTACAGCAGGGGCGTCGTTGGCTCCATCTCCAGCTATGATGGGTGAAGAATATTAATGAGAACTCCGGTCTAGTTCAAGGAAAGACGAGGAATGGGTCTTACTCATAGGCAACTAAATGGCCGAGTGCTTGTAATTTCTTGACAATATCGTACTTGTGTTCGGGGTAAACTCCAGCAAAACCATCAGCCCCTGATCAAAGGTGAAAGAGGAAAATTCCTCAAGTCAGCAAGGTCAAGCATCACCACAGGAGCTGATAATAAAGCGCTTACTCAAGATCATGTCATCGAGATTGTTGTAACCACTTCCAGGAGGAGGACCCTCTTTGAGTACTTTAGAAGCAAACATAGTATCACCCAATCCTAATCGACGTCCAGTTTCTTTGGCAATAGCAAGTTGATCACCAGTCACCATCTTAACTTGAATACCCAATGATACTGCGTCATCAATAGTTTGCTTGGTATCATCTCGAGGAGGATCAAAGATTGATAGTAATCCAATAAGCATAAATCCGTTTCCAGGTCCATCGACTTGTCCGCTTGGTACATCTTCGTATGCGACTGCAAGTGCACGTAGACCTCTTCGAGCAAATTCTTCAACATCAGCTTCGAGTTGACGTTCGACCTCTTCGGTTTTGTTGTAAGTGCATAATTCGATGATTTTACCAGTCATACCCTTTGTTACTCGGCGCATTTCACCAGTTGCAACATCGATGTAAGTCACTTCGGTACGTTTAACAACGGGGTCGAAAGGCTTGAAGTCTAGTAACTTAATTCCTCGTCGAGCGTTCTCTGCACCGACAGTTCCGACCACACAAGTATCGATAGCGTCTTGATTCTCGGTACGAGAGGCATATGAAGCGAGTAAACAGACATCATCGGCGCTAACATCTGAGTAAGTCTTGACAGTTGTCTTATCGATCGTAAGCTTGTTGGTGGTAAGAGTACCGGTCTTGTCAGAACATAAGATCGTCACGCCAGCGAGTTCTTCAATAGCAGTGATTCGAGTGACAATAGCCTTGTATTTAGCAAGTTGTTGAGCTCCGACTGCAAGTGTAACGGATAAGACGGTAGGCATGGCAATTGGAATTCCACCAATGAGCAAGACCAAGATGTTGTCCAAACCACGACGGTATGAGAAACGGAAGACTCCATATAAGACGATAAGCTCTGTTAAATGACAGATAAAAAGGACAGATAAGTGAAAATTTTTAGCACATTGACTTTGAAGAGAAGATACTGACCAAGTGCAATACAAATTCCAATCGAAACCAAGCAAAAGCTACCAATCTAACACAAAGTAAAGAATTAAACTGATATTCGCATTAAGATAATTGAGAAAGAAATTACTCACTTTGGACAAGATAGCTTGCATATGACCAGTCGAATCATTCTCGGCACCACATAAAGTAGCAGCTCTACCAAAGAAAGTATTGGCACCAGTAGCAATGACGATTCCTTCTGCTTCACCTTGTTTACAAATCGATCCAGAAAAACATTGATCTCCCACTTTCTTACTCGAAGGCAAGGATTCACCAGTAAGAGCTGCTTGATCGATTGAGACATTGACTGCATCGAATAAACGACAGTCTGAGGGAACGACATCACCGATCTGAAACGAAGAGGGGACTGATCAGTTTGATGAACAAATCATATTATTTTGTTTATAAACTGACCTTGAAGGCTACAATATCACCGGGTACAAGGTCAGCTGAATCCAATTCTGACCATTGTCCGTTACGTTTAGTTTTCGCTTTTGGTGCAAGCGAGTCCATCAAAGCCTTTACAGCATTTCCGGCTGAACGTTCTTCGTAGTAACCGATACCGGAGTTCTAAAGATGACGTTGATGATCAGATTCAAATTGGATGACTGAGGGTTCAGAGGGATTCTAGACTTACAATCAAAAGCAGTGACACAATACCAACGAAATCCTAAGACCAAGCGCCCTATCAGCTCAGTATTATGACCTCTAGAGCATGAATGAACTAACCTGCCAGTCTGGTGGTCGATTCTCTCCATTGGAAAGAGCGATAGATACTATAGCAGCTCCCTCCATGACCCATGAGAGAGGACTATTGAAGAATTCAGGCCACCCATTAGTTTATCAAACTGGTGAAGGCCATCAGACAGAGTAAAAACACAAACTTACTTCCACATGAAACTCAAGAATTGCAGGAAAGGGTTGACTGATTTTTCCTCGAGTTTATTAGGCCCAAAGATCGTACGCCGTCTCTCAACTTCGGCTGGAGTGAGCCCGTTTTCGTTTGTTCTTTAGTTGAAAGCTATATCAGTGATGATAACTTACCTAAAATTTAAAAGTGAGAGATAACTGACTGTAATAAAGTCCAAACATCCTCTAATTGTACTTGCTCCAAGTCAACCTTTTCACGATCATAAAGATCTTCAGCACAAAGTTGAATTGTCTTCATATCCACAAGACATCTTGTTGCGCTAGTTTCCTCTTCAAAAGTCTTATCAAAGTTTCTTGCCTTGGGGGCCTGATTGTGAGCCGCCATTTGTGCTTTCGAGTTGATGTTTCGTTGGTGGTCAAAAATATATGGTGAGAAAAACGTAACCAAGCTATTGACGAGAAAATTTCTTAGAAAAAAATATATATATAAACTATTCAAGCTATGGACGAGAAAGACTTAATAAAAAAATATGCTCAGACTAGCTGGCAAATATAAGAAAGAAAGAAAGAGGTTTGCTAAGTTATGTACCGGGTTTATGGCCCAAACGATAAACAGAAACAAAAAAGGAAGCGGATGAGGAGGAGGAAAAGTTCTGAAGATGAGCTATAGTTATATACCTCTTGAGCATTCCTACTGTTCTCACAAGCCTCCAAGAGAGAATTCTATTACCTCAGTGAAAATTCAACTGGTAATGTTCAATCGTAGATCTACGTACTACATAGTTCATCCACCAGCATTGATGTTCTCCCCGTACTATATCTGATCCCTAGGATGGAAACCTTTCTCACGCCGTCTCAGTAGTCACATCCAAAGAGCGTGTAGATCTTTTGTATGGGAGGGTTCAGTGATAAATATCAAATGTGACTCTGCTTGGTTCATGATCAACCGAAGGCGAGCGAAAGAATCGTACCTCGAAAGTGCGATCTATCCTTCCCGTTCTTTCCCGCTTCATCGCTCATTCTAGTCTGCACTATCGAGGGTTTTGATTCGGGTCTAGATGGATGAAAAAAAGAAAGATAAATAAGCTAGTGATAGGTGATCAAGATTTAGTAGTGATTCTTGGCGTTAGAACTTCACCTTGGTTGACTCAAAACCTCTTGCCCTTCGGTATCGCGTGAGTCAGCTTTTGAATATCGGCCTTGTGCAGTTCTTGCGAAAACGTAGCACCTGGGAAACGATTCGGGGCTGAGCACAACTTCCTTGCTGTCAGTGTCAGTTTAAATCCCAGGTTATGTAAAAATTGATTGTGAATAGCTATCAACTTGCTTTGAGCGTTCTGGATCATTTCACATCCATACATTCATCGAACTGATCTTGAATCAAGTTCCTATGCTCATTCCAGAAAGTTAACAAAAGTTGAAGGATGAGAAGATGAAAATGATGTGCATTTGGATTTACCAGCCGTGAAGCTACCGTACTTCAAAGCAAAAAGACTGTGCGCACGTAATGGCTTTCTGGCCCAATGGTTAAGGCGCTTGCCTACGAAGCAAGAGATTCCAGGTTCGAGTCCTGGGAAGGTCGCTATTTTTGAGATTTTTGGTCAACCCCTTCTGTGAAGGATCGTTCTGAAATGTCAAATAACAAAACTAATTTATTGATCATACAATTGACTAAAAGCTGAGGAGAGCTCCACGCCAATCCACTTTGATTTTGCGGCAAAAGTCGGTCAAACTTCCTGTAAGTGACTGTACTTTCTTCAGCAAAACCGATGTGATTGAAAACGAGAGATATTCAAGAGTATATAGCTATCTTAATTGTGTCAAATTTTCATACAAAAGTTACATTTGATTCTCAATGGGTTAAGTAAATGACAATCAAATTGAAGAATTGAAAGTTCGTAAACAATTTTTTATAAAGTAACACGGGTTTGAAATTTTAAAATCAAAGCTTTAAAGAAAATTGTATTATTCTTGACGAACTTTTTTTCTTACTTCGTCTCCTCTCAAAGAGTCTGAAGAAGATATGGAAACTGTTCTCTTTTTCTGATTTAAACCCAAAAAATTGACAATCAATCATTATTTTGTTGATTATATTAAGATTTTAGGATTCGATTTTGTGAATGAAAGAATGACTCACTGTTGGATGTGATTGTGTTGAATCGATCAAATCAACTTGAGCCTCAGATGGATGATTAGTTTGGTCATCCATCAAGACAGGCTCAGTTTCCTCTTCCTTGAATTTCAACAGCTTTTTGCGTAGTTTCCAATAATGCTTCTTTTCGTCTTCTCAAGTTCCTCAAATCAGATTTCAACTTTATCCACATATCTTTTAAGTTCACTTAATTTGTTAACAGATCCCATCAATGAAGTATAACTATCTACATTTTCTCGTGTAGGCATCATCAAAGGTTTAGGAGTCGAAATATTGATAGGGATTTCTAATTCGGTTAAGATTGAATTGATTCTAGTGGCATATGCTGCTGATTTGGGTTGATGGATTCTTGAAGGATCTCAAGGTTACTGTTGGATGATGGTATGGTAATGCATGATCAAATCGGTAGACACAATTCTTAGAATCGTTTGATGTGTCTCTTGTTAAGTTTGTGGCTTCTGTTGAGTTTGATTCTACAATTGGATCTAAACTTAGATCTTCAAATGATTGATCTTGAGTTTTATTAGATTGAATCGGTTTGAGCTTGGTTGAAGATGTTTGATTAGTTCCATTGACATTAGATTGATCTTGATGATTAGAATCGGAATCTGGCCATTGTTTCAATTGATTATAAAGTTCAAAAGGTAGACCACCAATCTGTTTGATCACATCACTTCGATCTTGATTTCGTTTTTCTAATGATTGTTCGAATCTTCTTGTTTCGATATATAAGAAATTTTCTTCTTCAATCTGAGATAATGTTCTATTCATCAATCGTTTCACTTGTTTCTTTCTTTCGATTTCTCTATGTTTATCAAAATGATAACTTTGAATTAATTGTTTTTTACTGCTCTCATCTAATAAATCACCCGAATTAGTTCTTGATCTATTTAAGATTAACTTTTGACAAATCGTATAATATCTTAATTTTAAATCTTCAATCGATCTTGAACTACCTAAGAAATCATATCGATCACTTATCACTGGAAATCTTAAATCATAATCTTTTAAAAGTGAAAATAAATAATCTGTTTCTTCTTTTGTCCAATCATCATCTCTCAAATAATGATAATATTCTTCGGTTGAATATGTATACACATTAGAATTCGTATTGAATTTCGAAAATGATGATACTGTCATTTTGCAAGATAACCAAATCAGAATATGATCATATCCAATGAAGTTTTGTTTGAGAAGAATTGACTCACTTGAAGGTTTATCACTTCTAACCCAATGTTTGACTTTAATTGATCTTTACGTGCTGGGTGTTCGATTTCGATCAAGTTCCATTTGTGAGTTGAATGTTGAAGTTGATAGTTTTGATTTGATTTGATGATATTTAAAGGTTTCCAAGTTCAAACTTGCTGAGTGATTTCCTATTAAATTGAACAAATCCTTTTCCATTTTGTTAAAGTAATTTAAAGAAAATTCAAAATTCAAAATTCAACTTAAATCACTTTCCAAAATGCAGTTTAAGTCTGATGACATAATCACATTCAAGTTACACAATTCATCATCCAACCAATCTCTGGACTCTCCTTGCCTCACAAGAGCTTGGGTATCGTCGACTATTGACCACGTTCTCTAGATTTCGATAGACATATGTAGTGTGAAACGAATTCTCCATATCTTCGGCCTACCAAAGTTGATATTAAGAATCTTCCAAAGAGAAACTCAGATCAGACATGTGTCTCCTACCAAATTGATAGTCAGGGTAGGTGATGTTCGGGACAAAGTTCAATCGTCGCATTTTAAAATTAGGACTCATCTTGAAAGGCAGAGCAACAAAAGAAATAAAGATGATTGATATAAGGTTTAATGATAGTCTAAACAGATGTCAATTCGGAAGGTGGTCTCTTAATATGTACTTTGCCTATGGTCTCCAGGCTTTACAAAACAATTAGGATGATATGGTGAGGACACATCTAGAAGAAAGAGGCTTTATCAAGACTTAGTTGACCTTATAAGATAAGAGATCAAGCTAATATCCTTTCATGGATAATGATGAAATTTTTCATGTGCTCATTTGATTTTTGAAACGGATTGAGATACGTGGTAAAAAATTTCAGATAAAATTCATTGGTCTAAAATATCACCTACCCCATGGGCTGGTACGGATGTTGATGAGTGGAAAAGAGTACACCTTTACAAGATGATTTATTTGTATAAAATTAAATGAATTTGTTTTCTGAGGAATTGGAAATATGAACAAGTCACTCAAATGAAGAAAAAAACATGAGATCAACTCAAAGGATTCGGATCAAGGCTCGTTGTGCTCTACTCAAGCAGCAATCTAACATGTGTAGAGACGAAATCAGGAAGATTTGAATACTAGTTATTTATTTCAAAATACACCAATGTAGAGAAAGGCAATTAGATACAAGTGATGAGCTTGGTTGCGTGATTTGTTCGATTCTTTTAAGTTCGTCGCGAAATTTTTCGAAGACCTAAAACAAGCGAAACGAAGAGATTGACAAAGAATACATGAATTGAAAGTCAATAATCAAAACTGTGATGGATGTAAGAAAAGACTTACAATACATGAGACTAATTATGGATAGTAAGAACAAATGAAGTTATTTTTTCAAGTTTAATTGTTTTTGTAAGAGAGCCGAATAGAAATCCAGAAATTGTAAAGAACTGATGAAAGTAATGATACATATTGAAGAGATATCTAGCTACATCGTTAAACGTTGTTTCTGAAAGTTTTATAGTCAAAATCTTGTGAAGAATGACACATGTTTCTGTTTGATGAGATTTACAAACCTTTAATCTTCATGGGGATCAATCAAAGAAACTTGAGCTCCCGCCGAAGTGACATTGGGAGATCCCTATCAAGACGACCGAAAAAAAAATAAGTGATATCAATACAAAGAATATCAGAGAAGAAGAAAAGACGGATATAAATCACCTTTTTAACACAGTAAACTTTGCGAGCAGCGGAAGGAATAGATTGAGGAACTTTAGAAAGATCATTTAAAATTCCAATTCCACCTTTGATTGTTGGTCGGTATGTATGTTTGCGAGTAGAGGTAATAGAAGGATTGTTTAAGATTTGGGTAAGACCGAGACGATTTAATGTTTTAGGATGAAGTTTTACAGGATTGTATCTCTTATTGAATTGTTTGTTTACTTTGACTGATTTTTGAGGAGGATCTGGACGCCGTTCAGGAATTGGAATACGTTGAGGGGGAGGAGGAGGTCTAGGGGAGAGGACGTTGGCTTGGGTTTGAGTTCTTTGGAGAGGCATGATGAAATATGATGAAAGTAGTTGATGAAGTGATTTAGATGTGATTCAGAGTGAAGATGTGTGTGGTAGAGTGAAGGAAAGTTAATGCAAGGTGATGAGGTTGACAACGGATTTTATATGGCAAATTGTGGTGCTGAGGATACCGTACAATCCCATACTACAATCCCATGATGCTGAAGGTGAAGCAAATGATCAGCCAATTTCACTTCTCAATCGCATTATCGAAGCATTAGGGAAGAATTATCAAGACATCCTTATAGTGATGCTGAGGATACCGTACAATCCCATACTACAATCCCATAATGCAAAGGGTACAAATAAATGACTAGCTAATCGCATTTCTCAATCGCGTTATCAAAGCATTATGGAAGAATTATCAAGGTGGTCTCTTAACATGTACTTCGCCTATGGTCTCCACGCTTTACAAAACAATCAGGGTGATATGGTGAGGACACATCTAGAAGAAAGAGGCTTTATCAAGACTTAGTTAACCTTATAAGATGATCAAGCTAATATCCTTTCATGGATAATGATACAAATTTTCATGTGCTCATTTGATTTTTGAATCGGAATGAGATACGTGGTACAATTTATCGAATATAATTCATTGGTCTAAAGTATCAACTACCCCATGGGCTGATACGGATGTTGATGGGTGGAAAAGAACACCTTCATGATGATTTATTTGTATAAAATGAAATGAATTTGTTTTCTGAGGAATTGGAATTATGAACAAGTCAAACATCTGTACAGACGAAATCAGAAACATTTGACTACTAGTGATTTTGAACTTCACATTTCTATTCTGAGACCTAGCATAGCTTACTTGAAGTCTGCCAAAATGATATGTACTTTGAGATGTCTGGTTAGAAATTAGACAGTCATCACATAGATACTTTGATCTCAAAGGCTGTGATACAAGACATTTTTTAAAACCGGTACACTCCTTACTTTCTTTCTTCCTCTCTCAACTCTGTAAATACGTGTTTTCACCAAAACACAATTGTAGTATCAAAGTCTATTTGGTCCATGACTAAATCAAGATGGCCAAAAGCTTGGAACTGATGACAAGTTTAGAAATTGTCCAGGGTTGGTAATAGGTCAGTGGGCTTCTTTTGAATTCAGGAATGTTGTTTTTCTCAATTTTAACAATGTGACTCAGCCGTATTTGATTCCCTTG